GGCGCTAAGGCGAGAGCCACGTTTTGACAACGTCCCGCCCTTCATCTGTAAAGCTGTTGCCACGTTTTAAGCTTCAGAGTCATAAATGGTGAGGAAGTCTCAGGCGAAATGCCCGGCCCGCCCTAAAAACTGGCCTCGGGGTGCGACAGGGGGAAGTTATCAATAAGGAGGAGGAATGGAGGAAGAGGATCAGGAGGAGGATGAGGCTCGAGTTGGATCCCTCGGGGAGAGGAGGACGGTCGAGGATTGGCCCAGAGGACCGAAAGCCTTCGAAGACGAAGCATCGGCATTAACATACACGGGCACAGTATAAATGTTCGGAGATCCGCGCGGATTTCTTGGGTGGAGTCTGGACCCTGGGGGGCACCGCCCAATGGGCCCAGGTCCGCGCGGGCCATGCTGACATGGTATACCAATGCAGTTGTCTTAGCCGAAGTCGTCAATTCGGATGCAGAGCCCCCGTTTGGGAGGAAAAGAGCCTACATCTTCAATCTTTGAGGATACAGCCAACCCGCATAATTAGTAAGGATGGGCAACCTTCCCAAGGGTACCTTTGCGTCCTTCCTCCTCGGCCCATCCTTGGCCACTTTCGTTAGCCGCTCCCCGCCCGAAAAGCTTCGAAATGGGCGTCCAAGGCCATTGCATTCTTACCGCGCATCCTTCTGATACGCGCCGACTGTACATCTTTAATCTTCGAGGATCAAGCTTTTCAGAAGAACTTCCCTGTTGGCGGCTTCTGATCCTCTGGGGAGTTCTTTCGAGAATTCGGCCTGAGAGCTCAGCCTGTGTGTCGCTGCTGCGGGCGAGGGGCCCCCCGGGGGGTAAGGAGGTCCCTCAGGAGATTCGAGGATCGATGCTCGACGAGGAGGAGGCTCGAGAAGGACCCCTCGAGGGAGGAGATTCGAGGAGGACCCAGATGACCAACAGCATTTCAGATTGAGATTCGATGTCCATTGTGGAGTTGCTTTTCCCGCCCCTGTCTCCTCGTTCCTGACCTTCCGCCATACAAGATGAAGGTTCGAGGAAGGGAGGGTTGAGGGAGGAGGAGGAGGAGGAGGAGGAGGATATCATCTCCCGCCCTCTCTTCCTCCTGCTCCCGATGACCCCTTCTGTAATCAGAAGAAACCGCGGGAGCGATGACAAACCTTTTTACCACTTGAAACCGTATTGTCGTACATATTGTTTTACCATCCTTCCTCTCCATGACCCTTATCTTTTCCGATAAAAGAGGGAGAGGAGGCTGACCATAGAAGGATGCTGCAACGCACCTGCCCATCCCAAGAACCACTCTCGTTAGTCCCCGCACTGCCGTAGCGACAGTTCACGCGGCTTGGTATGATGTTGGAATCTCCGATACCCCTGAATATCCCTAACATCGGCAGGTAGCCCCTGCGCTCCCGCAGAGTAGTTTTGTTTCCCTTAATTGCGAGCTCTGTCAACTCAAAACCAGATCGGGAATCACTCCGTCCAATATATGATGAAGCATGGGGCGGGATGCATGTTCACGCGGAGCACTTTTTACTCCGCTTTTCCCGCCAGTCGGCAGTCACCTTGCATACAGGCTACATGCAGTCGAGGCCGATGCCAAGAAGCACCCTGCTTGCCTCCAGGGTGCCCCGGGTGTCTTGGGCTTCCATGCTTTTGCTATGGAGAGCGTGGCGCTCCCACACCAAAACTCTATGGGTGTCCTGGGGTCTCAGGGTTGGGTTTCTTGTGGAAGGTTTCCTGTGGGCTGGCCTCCACGTAGTAAGACTGCCTGCTGCCACGGCGGTGTATAAAGCATTATTGTGGAAGGTTTCTTGTGGAAGGTTTATTGGGGTT